TTTCTGCATAAAGAATAATTATATATTCACCTAATATGATATTCTTGAGGAGGCGGTGGTTCGCTTCGAGCTGAAACAATTTTTCTAGCTGCAGCTGTTGTATCTTGCAATTTTTGCCGTCGTCTCAATTTTAATATATCGGGTATAGTTGGTACAGTTAATTCACGAGTTAAATGACGCAATCCAACTTTAGTTGTTGATGTCATTTCTTCTCTTGATCTCTTCTTACTTATTGGTGACGTATTATTCATCACTTTTAATGGAATTTTTTTAGCATCAGTTATTGGCGATGAAAAGTGTTCTAACGCTTCCAAAATTTTTTTAGCAGTCTGACTCATACCAGATGAATCTGTATTAGATGGTTTTACTTCAACACTTGTTCTTTTAGGAACTTTAAGTTGAATCTAGAGTTAACGATTGATTATGCCATAAATAACACTAAAAGTGATTAAAACAAGAATAATTTAAATTAATAACGCATACCTCATTTGAATTATTAAACAAATTACGACCTCGCTTATAAAGACCAGCTGCATTTGCTCCACCAAAAGTAGTATTTCCACTGTAAAAAGGAGATGCCAAGGGAGATGCACGATCCGGCGTGTTTGTCATGATTGATGCATTGAAGCTTGGTCTACGACTACTTAAGGAATCTCGAGTATTCTCTAAAAATAAAGACCTTGGAGACTGCATATGATTGGCTAAAAAAAATTTGTATATTAAATATACAATAAATGTCACATAAGAATGTATATTTCTAAAAACATATTTTCACAGAAATGAAAGAAGATAAATTACTTACTAAAATTTAATTTATCATTATCAAATCTTTTTCTATTAGAAAATGGAGAAATGTAGACATTTGGTGGAGCTTCTTGTCTATTTATTTGTGGAATAAGGGAACTACAACCACTAGTGCTCTCGCTAGATTCTGAATTATCATCCATACCATTCGTAGTTCCATTATTTGTGGTAGCAACTAATGCATTTAACTCTGATCTCTGTGGTGCTATGTTTCTAATATCTGATTGTATTGCAGGTGTAGAAGTTACTAAATGGCTCATCCCGCTTGGTCCAGCCATTGCAGGTTTAGAAAAATCTTCACTCTACAAAAACATTGTTCACTGAAAAAATGTTTTTTTAAATTGGTAATCTTTTGTATACTTACTGTTTCATTAATGAAATATTGTTGTTTAGATGAACTGGCTTTATTAACTGTTGATTTGGCTCTTGGTTGAATTGAAAATGTACCAGGTGGGTGAGTAACATCCATGCGGATACATGGTCGTTTTAAAGGTGGAGGTTTCTGAATATCTTCTTCTAATTCAACCTCTTCGGGATTTTCATTGTCTTCTAATATATCTTCATCATTTTGAGATGTGTTAAACCATTTACTAATCCACAATCTTTGCGGTAGAAGATCAGTTACTTTTGTTGCCACTTTTTTTACAAAAGACTGAAATATAAGGAAAATAAGCATATGCCTATCAAAAAACATTATTATTATATAGTGCTAAAACACATATGCATAGTACATATCATGCATTATGACAGTCATTGACGTAATATTAATTCTGTAATATTATAATAAACATAATAAAAATATATTTTAAAAAATATATATATAAAGAAAACTATATAAAGAAAAGATAAATATATATATATGTACGCACGCATACGCATACATTCTATACTAAATATAGAATTAAATTATTTATATAAATTATATATTTTTGTACTATATGTAGTATATATATATATATATATATATAT